ACACACACACACACACACACACACAGAGGAAGTAATACTGCAGGTCGTCTCCAAGGTTCTTGTGTCTTTTGGCTGATACATGAGAGTCCTTTCAATTATTCAGACTTTAATTTCCGCAACATTAGACTAAACTTCAACCCTCCTGCGACCACACACACACATCCCAGCAAGACCCAGATTTGAGTGTATTTGTGTGTGAGAGACTCACACTCTGTCCGTCCCGTAACTGCGGTAATCCACTGCGGCAGAAACGGCCACGATGAGCGCAGGAATGCCGTATCCGGCCAGGTAGAAATATCTCTTGCGCGAATGCTCGCTCTCAAACACCTCCACCAGCATGATGTAGAGCTGAACGCCTTCCAGAAACATCCACGTGAACGCAGACAGGAAGAAGAAATGCAGCAGAGCCGCAAAGACGGCGCAGGCGATCTGAAAGACACACACAAAAGCTCTCGTTACCTGGACATTGATGGATGCTGTTCTGCAACCTCACAAACCTTCTCAGATAATTGAAAAATGTGAAATAAGAGGGTTTAAAGATTATAAATCATGCATGACGTTCTGCATTAGAGTCACACTCACTGAACGCTCTCTCATTAAATCTTTATGACACACACACTTGTGCTATTTCACCCTCTCATGAACTAATAAGTACATGCAGTCTGCCATTTAAAACATCCCGTGTCCAAATACACGATCTTCCCAGCTGCACAGTATGGAAAAAGTGGTATGTCAAATGAGTAGAATGTTTAAATATATATATAGTACTCAAGTTTTTTTAGTATATTGAATTGCGTTTATTTTTCTTAGCCACTGTCAAGCATGCAAGCATACATTCAACACAATTTTCTGTTTATGTTTAAAACAATAAAAAAATAAAATAACTGTGATGTGATGAACAATGCAAGTACAATGAAAATATCAGGATTATCATCACATAAATTAAGACTAAAACCATAAAAGAATTATTGCTCCTTAAATAAAATATATTTGGGAAAAAAAATGGAAATGGAAACTATAAAAATTAAACCAAACTCAAATTTGAATAGCTGTTCATGCTACGAAAATAACACTGAAATGATAAGTTGTGTGTGTGTATGTGTGTGTGTATGTGTGTGTGAGTGTGTGTGTGTGTGTGTGTGTGTGTATATGTGTGTGTGAGTGTGAGTGTGTGTGTGTGTGTGTGTCGTACGGGCTGGTCCGCGCGGTTGATGCCAGTGAGGAAGAGTGTTTCAGCGATGAAGAGCGAGATGCACAGGTTCTTGTGGATGGTGTTCCTGTCGCTCTGCAGGCCGCGGAAGAAGCAGAAGGTGAAGATGCAGACGAGCAGACAGACCAGAGACAGCAGGATTCCCACCCATGTGATGATGTCCAGCAGCAGATCATGAACCGAGTCTGCCGTCTGCAGAGAGAGAGACACAGATCAGAATGCTTTCCGATCCCTCTGAACAGAAATATTACACATGGATATCAAAATGTTGCTACAAGCAGCAATTACAGATACATAGTGACACCAGCAAAGCACAAGAGCACATCAGAGCAAGATTTCAGACGCTTACACCAGGATAGTAGGCCAGGATTTCAAGGATATCCACAAAATAAAATTTAATGAATGAATATTATACCTTTTAACATTTTAAATTATATTTTTATCATATATAAATAATTATTAAAAAAACATTATTATATATATTTTTTAATTGTATCATACAAATGATCATTTTAACATTTTATTTTTCTCTTATTTATTGTTCTAGGTACCCAGCCATAATTTAAAAATTTAGAATTTCAAATTGTATATTTGAAATTATTTATTTATTTATCGTTCTAGGGACTAATCAATCGATCAATAAAAATAGAAACTATTTCTGCTATTCAGGTATTCACACTGATGGTTAACCTTTGCCCACAGACAAATGTAGGTAGCTATTTTTTGTTAATATCTTGTGGTGTAATTAATTATATGAACAAAAAAAAGAGTATATTTCACTGCAAAGCTGCAAACTAGCCTCCAGCACAGTTAATAACCCTACAAGTCTTCACACGTGTATTGTGTATTTTTCTGTTAAGCGCGTGTGACAGTCAGTTTGATTTATTATCGTGCTGCAGTTAAAGCGCTCAGATCCCGCATACGGCGTCACTGATTCCCACTGTACTCCCTCTGTAGGGTCCCTACGGAGGCTACACAGCCAGGGGAGAAGAGCACAGCTGATATGGGACACATCCCAGAAGACTTTGAGTCTGGAAGACTGGATGTCAGCATTTCTGAAGAACACACCTCATGAATATTTATGAGCACTTCATGGGTAACAGTACATAGCTTATATGTATATGTGTGTGTGTGTGTGTGTGTGTGTGTGTGTGTGTGTGTGTGTGTGTGTGTGTGTGTGTGTGTGTGAGTGTGAGAGCCCCAGAGGGCCGCTGAGCACATAACACATCACTCTTCCTGAGGCCCACTCACCCTTGAGCGCTATATCTCCTCTACATTCAACAGCAGTGTGTGTGTGTGTGTGTGTGTGTGCTGTAAGTAAATCAACAGCTCAAGCCTGCTCAGCACAATCCACAGCGAGTCTCAGACTTTATAGAGTCAACGCTGAGCTCAAGTAAATCTACGTGTCTATAAACACACATACATACAATCTCACACACACGTATACATGCACTCTCAGAAAAAAAAGGTACAAAAGCTGTTACTAGGGTGGTATCTGTGAAAAAAGCACACCTTTGTACCTTATTTACCCCTAAAGGATGCATAATAGTACCTTAAAAGTACATATTGACACCTAAAGTGTACATATTAGTACCTAAATTGTACATCTTAGTGAAAGGTACCTCTCCAGTGACAACTGCAATGCCCGATGCCCAGAATGCCCAACATGGTAAAAAAAATAGGGTATTTTTCAACTCAGTATGTCATACCGAATCTAAAGAGACCAGTCTTGTGATTTTTGGCCAAAATATTCAGTAGTTATAAGCAAAAATGTAAATTTTTCATATCTCCAGACCACTAGGTGGCGCTGTGCCGAAACTGTGCAGGTAACCTCAGGTCCTGGTTATTATAACGCACACCAAGTTTGGTTTGAATGTGCTAAAGCGTTATGGAGATATAGCCTAACGTCCACTTTGGTGTGCTCTTCGTCGAATTCACTCGCGCGTTATTCAAGAACGCTTTGACTAATCAAATTTAATTCCACAGCTTTTTTAAGCAAGGTCTGAAGATGAGCTGGTCCGATTTTTCGATATCGAATTGTCTTAAACCAAGGAATCAGAAGAAAATAGAATTTTGTTTCTAGCCCGTGTGGTTCAACTGTTATTAGCATAAATGTGAGTACAACTTTGAGCAGATGGTGGCGCTAGAGGGTTTGCGTTAGAGACTCCAAACCAGCTATGGTTAATGTTGAGACTGTCTTCTATGTGTGTGCCAAACCTCCTAACTTTCCCGCAAGCGGTTCTATGGGCTATCATAGACTCCCAGAGCGAAGAAGAAGAAGAGGAAGGAAGGAATGACAATATTTAATCATTTTCATTCATATGCATCCCAATAACAATATATTCAGTAATAATACAAGTTTTTACTAAAATATTTTGAGAAATATATTACAAGTAATGTAAGAAAATGCCACATGCACACTTACATGAACATTATTGAGAGACGATGCCAATGAGTCACTGAATCAGAGTATTGAAGTGATTCACTGAACTGAACAATATCAGCATTTTTGCTGAAGTTTAAATCAGAAATTATATTAAAACAAGAAGCGAAAAGCGTTGCACTGCTGGAGTCTTTACTAAACATAATGGCAAAAAAAAAAACATTATTCAGTTGACACTGTCAACAAAATAATAACTTATAAAAGAAACATTTGTTTTATATATTTATATATATATATATATATATATATATATATA